GGTCTCACAGTAAAATGACAGGTCATTTCTGGGCACAACAGCTCAACTCACCTCTCTTTCATCTGATCACAACCTCAACCCTATGTCCCCGACCCCCAGCCTCTGTCTTCTGTTGTTACTGCCACCATCCTCTCGATTTCTGCTGCCATTGTCTCTTCAGCTAACTGCTATCCTCAAATCATAGCTCTTACAGTCATGCCTCTTCTGATCATACTTCTGCAGTTGACCCTCTTCTCCCTTTCCTGATAAGGACTCATCTGAGGATCATTGTCAGTAATTCACCAGTCAAATTTTCATTTGCAGTTGGCAGCTTGAAGATGTCCAATTCTCCATAGCTTATTGGACAGAATGATAACAAGGCCATCATCATATCCAATCTGATGCAGGGAATGTTTGGTATATATCTTCAATATTTCCACTACACCAGTGACAAGTTCAAGTTTGAAAATCTATTTTGCCTTCTGTGAGTCCATTTGGAAAATATCCCATAATTGTTTGTACCAGGCAAAGGTCTTAGTAATAGCAAAGTCTGAAAATTATCATGCAAGATGTTATTTATTGCAGTTTTACTGATTACCTTGAGCATAAACATGTGCTAAAGGTTGTAATTATGTTGATGTTAAACAGAGTTGAGAGGATAACCATGTTTCAAACTTGAAAATATCTGCTGACTCTAATCTTATAAAAAGAACATCCAATATATTTAACAAATTTAAATGATTCTGGGAGAAATGCTGACATAAATTATGAAATTAGAAAGGATTATTCACTATGCATCTCAATAAAATGTAGAATCTATGGTATAAATTTAAAACATTGAATCTCCTGCACACTGCTAAATGAGTCTGCTATTGCTTTCAGTCCATTGGTTGAAGGGAGTAATAGAATTTATCAACTGGAATTAATTTTTCAACCAAGTACATATTAATAGCTAGACCTCTCATTGGCTGACATATATTAACACCACCCCCTCCATGCAGCTAACCATCATGACACTAATTGCTGCCACAAAGAACCATTACAAAGCTCAGAATTCAGCCCAATAGAAAAGCGATAACTCCAATGTAAGAAAATGTTCAGGCTACAGGCAGCAATCTGAAAAGAGGGTGGAATCTGGTTGATGAGCCAGGGATCTCATCAATCATCCGGAGAGCTGGCAAGAAATCTGAACTGATTCCTTAAGGCAAGGTATCCAAGGTACTGGCACGATAGAGGCTTGGCTGACTGGCAGAATGCAGAGTGTGGGGATAAAGGGGTCTTTTTAGGATGGCAGGAGGTGACTACTGGAGTTTTGTAGTGGTTCATGTTGGGACCAGAGCTATTCATGTTATTCGTTAATGATCTGGATTAAGGAACTGAGGGCATTGTTGTCAGGTTTACATAGAGCATAGAACAGTACAGCACGGTACAGGCCCTTCGGCCCACAATGTTGTGCTGATCTATTATCCTACTAAGATCAAACTACCCTGCATACCCTACATTTTACTATCATCCATGTGCCTATTCAAGAGTCACTTAAATGTCTCTAAAGTATCTGACTCCACTACCACTGCCGGCAGCGCATTCCACACACCCACCACTCTCTGTGTGAAGAACCTACCTCTGACATCTCCCCTATACCTTCCTCCAATCACCTTAAAATTATGCCCCCTCATAATAGTCATTTCCACCCTGGGAAAACGTCTCTGGCTATCCACTCTGTCTGTGCCTCTCATCATCTTGTAAACCGCTATGAAGTCACCTCTCATCCTTCTTCGCTCCAATGAAAAAAGCCTTAGCTCCCTCAACCTTCCCTCATAAGACCTGCCCTCCAGTCCAGGCAGCATCCTGGTAAATCTCCTCTGCATCCTCTCTAAAGCTTCCACATCTTTCCTCTAATGAGGTGACCAGAAATGAATACAATATTCCAAGTGTGGGCTAACCAGGGTTTTATAGAGCCTCAGCATAAACTCATGGCTCTTAAACTCAATTCCCCTGCCAATGAAAACCAACACACCATACGCCTTCTTTACAACCCTATCAACTTGGGTAGCAACTTTGAGGGATCTATGGACGTGAACCCCAAGATCCCTCTGTTCCTCCACACTGCCAAGAATCCCGCCATTAATTCTGTATTCTGCATTCAAATTTGATCTTCCAAAATGAATCACTTCACAGTTTTCTGGGTTGAATTCTATCTGCCACTTCCTTGCCCAGCTCTGCATCCTGTCAATGTCCCGTCGCAACCTACAACAGCCCTTCACGCTGTCCACAACTCCACCAACCTTTGTGTCATCAGCAAACTTACTAACCCACCCTTCCACTTCCTCATCCAAGTCATTTATAAAGATCACAAACAGCAGAGGTCCCAGAACAGATCCCTGCGGAACACCACTGGTCACCGAGCTCCAGGCTGAATACTTTCCATCTACTACCACCCTCTGTCTTCTGTTGGACAGCTAGTTCTGTATCCAGACAGTCAAATTTCCCTGAATCCCATGCCTCCTTACTTGCTGAATGAGCCTACCATGGGGAACCTTATCAAATGCCTTGCTAAAATCCATATACATCACATCCACTGTTCTACCTTCATCGATGTGTTTAGTCACTCCTCAAAGAATTCAATAAGGCTTGTGAGGCATGACCTACCCCTCACCAAGCCATGCTGACTATTTCTAATCAAACTGTGCTTTTCCAAATAATCATAAATACTATCTCTCAGAATCCTCTCCAATAATTTACCTACCACAGAAGTAAGATTGACTCATCTGTAATTCCCAGGATTATCCCTATTCTCTTTCTTGAACAAGGCAATAACATTTGCCACCCTCCAATCATCTGGTACTACTCCAGTGGACAGTGAGGACGCAAAGATCATTGCCAAAGGGGCAGCGATCTCTTCCCATAGCAACCTTGGGTATATCCTGTCTGGCCCAGGGGACTTATCTATCCTCATGTTTTTCAAAATTTCTAGCACATCATCCTTCCTAACATCAACCTGTTTGAGCATATTCAGCCTGTTTCATGCTGTCCTCACAAACGTCAAGGTCCCTCTCACTGGTGAATACTGAAACAAAAAGAAGGCAAATGGTATTTTGGCCTTTGTAGTGAAAGGATTTGAATACAGGAGCAGGGATGTATTTCTGCAATTATATTGGGCATTTGTGAGACCACAACTGGTATATTGTATGCAGTTTTATTCTCCTTAACTGAAGAAGGATGTTCTGGCTATGGAGGGAGTTCAGTGAATGTTTACCAGAATGATTCCTGGGATGGCTGGACTGACGTATTTGGAGAGGTTGAATTGGCTAGGATTGTATTTGCTGGAGTTCGGAAGAATGAGGGGGGAATCTCATAGAAACCTATAAAATTCTAACGGAACTAGACAGGGTAAATGTTCACCATGACAGGGGAGTCCAGATCCAGGGATTATAGTCTAAGGGTCGAAGGTAAACCATTTAGGACTGAGATGAGGAGCTCGATGATCAGCCATGATCATAATGAATGACAGAGCAAGCCCAAAGGGCCGAATGGTATTCTCCTCCTCCAAGAGCCACTGAATTAGTAGCATCACACCAGGGTCGCTGTGAAAAAGACATCCAGGATTGTGGAGGATGAAGCCGGAAGATAATGATTAGTGGCTGGGTGTTATCTGGAATTGGGAGTGGGGAAAGAGGATCAGGGGTGTTTGAAGGAAGGGCAAAAAGAACAGAACAGAATAGAATAGTAATTTATTGTCACTTGTGAGTACGTATCAGCCCAATGTCCAATTCCTCAAGCAGAGTCTGACTGCTTTTGATCAAGGGGCTCTTGCTCACCACTCCAGGAGCTGACAAATTGCCTGCACAGATTAACCTTGTTGTGACAGATCCACTGGCAGCTGGGTTAGTCCCAAGGGTGGCAGGATGAGGCCCTTATCTACTCCTTAATTGGCCAGGTCTGGGCCTCAAGTTGCGACAGGGGTAGAAAGTAAACCACTGACCTTTCCATGCTGAACTTCATTCCAGTGGAAGCTGAAAGGCCACACACCAACAATCCATTTAAATAAACTCACCAGTTCCAGGGAGCACTGATTCTGCTTACAGAGTGTCTGCTGGAATGAGATTGCCTCTCACTCTTGTAAACTCTACAAAATATAGGCCCAGTCTATTTAATCTGTCCTCAGAGGATAATCCCTCTATCCCAGTAATTATTTTGGTGAACTTTCATTGCATTCCCTCAATGGCAAGTATATTTTTTCCTAAAGACACCAAAACTTGCACAAAACACTCTAGGTGTGATCTCACTAAGCCTCTATGTAACTGCAGAAATGTATCTTTATTTCTACACCGAAACAGTCTTTTAAGAAAGGCCAACAAATTATCAGCTGCCATAGCTGTTGTAGCTGCATGTAACTTTAAGTAACTCATGAATAAGGATCAAATCGCTCTAAAGTTCAAGATTTCCAACCTTCTCATCATTTAAGAAATACTCTATATTTCTGTTTTTCCTTCCAAAATGGAAATCCACACATCCCTCTACACTGTATTCCATCTGCCAATTCTTTGCCTCTCCATGACGAGTCTGTATCTGCCTCGCAGTTTGCCTGTCCCTGTGTCCTATGTTCCAGCTTATATTTCAGATCAGACACTCCCTAGCTGTGTGGAACAGGTGAAATGTGCTGGTCTCTGACCAATTCTGCCAAAGAATCTTAGCCCAGTGGAACTGGTGTCTCTCTTGCACCAGCTCACCAGATTTTCATACCCGAGAGACTGTTTCCTGACCCAGAGGAGACTGGATAAGGGTGTCTGCTCCCAATAACTCCTACTCTGGAGAAAACAGAAAAGATTTATACAAATATATGTCCCTTCCATAGACTGAACACAATTGATCAGCTATTCTCGTTAGGTGACTAACCTTTTCAAGAAACCACAACATCAGAAACTTCGACCATATCCATGAAAGACAAGAACGTGTAACTCTGAGCATTGTTCCTATTTAAGTAACCATCCAGTGGCCTGTAGAATGATTGCATTTGTCATGTTTCTGTAGTGTAGTGGTTATCACATTCGCCTTACATGTGAAAAGTCCCTGGTTCGAAGCTGGGCAGAAACAGGCGTTCTCCTTCGCTACAGAGATAGGCTTCTGGATTGACGTGGATGGAGGGCTGTTGTTTGCTGTTCTTGTCAACAAACCTTTCTTGGGGTGGCACGGTGGCTCAGTGGTTAGCACTGCTGCCTCACAGTGCCAGGGACCTGGGTTCAATTCCATCCTCGGGCAACTGTCTGTGTGGAGTTTGCACATCCTCCCTGTGTCTGCGTGGGTTTCCTCCGGGTGCTCCGGTTTCCTCCCACAGTCTAAAGATGTGCAGGTTAGGTGGATTGGCCATGCTAAATTGCCCAAAGTGTCAGGGATGTGTAGATTAGGTGGGTTATAGGGGGATGGATCTGTGTGGGATGCTTTGAGGGTCAGTGTGGACTTGTTGGGCCACAAGGGCCTGTTTCCACACTATAGGGATTCTATAAAATACTTCCAGGCAATACATTCCTGACCTGAACCTCCATAAGAGGGTAACTTTAGTACAGGATAAGGGTTCCCTGTTGTGACCTCTGAGTCTCATTATCATTTAAGTATCAGGATAGGAAATATACAGTCCAGGACAGGGATGTGCAATCTCATTCATTGCAGTCCTTGCTGCATTTGACACTTGTTTCATGGAGGTGGCATTCACTTTAAAAGTACAGTTGAGATTAGGTTAACAAAATAATGAACATGCTTTGATTTAATATACAAAGAAACATATTGTGGGAATTATTTCTTTCAAAGTGAGCTGAAAACTCAGTGAAATGACCCACAGCCTAAAACCTGCTGATTTTGTCCTAGTCATGGATTCACTGTGAATTATAATATTTTAAAGCCCAATTAGCCAACTTGTTTGTCCTTTGTCATGAAGTGACAGTATCAGCACTTGCACTTCAAAGACTATTATAACAATTTTGTAAATGACAGGGAATAATTATTACTTGATATAATAATATTAATGATAATAAGCAAGTTTTACAGTGTATTGAAAACATTATTGGGTATTATTACACAGTTACCACTGGTGAAAAATTTTAAGACAGCACTTTCTAGGCTCATAACTTCAGTTTAATGTGAATGTCTGTCTTTTGTTATTAAATATCATCAAATGATTTACATTACATTTACACTGATACAATTCCAGTTTGCTTTGTTAATCAAACTTGGCACATTTATAACATTAATAGATTGTGTATTACTAACCTCATCATTGATTTTCATTGTATGAAACTTCTCTCTAGAAGATTCCATCTTTAATTTCATGCTGTTGAGCTTTCGAAGTAAATATGCTTTGTCTTTTCCTTCCTAACAGTGAAAATATCTCTGTAAGGTTAACCAACCAATTTTCTATATTACAAAAAAAAAATCACGTTTCAGCATCGTATTGAGTCACTATATAAACTAGTTCATCAAAAGCACCTCCAAACTTATTGGCTACAGTTCTACTCATTCCAGGTCCCTCTAATTCATTTCAACAAGACATACTGTTAGCATTTCCAAACTGCTCTTGGGAAATCAACTAGCCATAACAATGAGTTCTGAAGAAGGGTCACAGGATTTGAAACATGAGCTATTTTCTCTTTACAGATGCTGCCAAACCCACTGAGTTTCTCCAGCAATACCTGGTTTTGATAGACCCATAACAACTGCTGGGGTTGATAATCAGCCATTTCTTGCAACTTGAAAATATTTCTTAGGTTCTTTTTTACAGGTTTTTTTTTGCTCGATTTTTCATTTTTGATAATGTTCAGAAAGCAGGCAAGCAACAAATTAATAACAAATAATTAATATGCAAGAAAACCTAATCCATTGAATATGATCCACTTAACCATATTAAGCATTTCTGCATGACTGTGTTGCTGAGATTGGAAGTTTAATATCATTGCAAATTGTGAGCTTTCATTATATAATAGTATCTTGCCACTTGTGTTTTGCCGACTCTTTGAAAGAGTCATATAGTCATACAGCACAGAAACAGACCCTTCAGTCCAACTCGTCCATGCTGACCAAGTTTCCCAAACTAAATTAGTCCTGTTTGCCTGTGTTTGGTCCATATCCCTCTAAACCTTTCTGCGTCATGCACCTGTTCAAATGAGTTTTAAATGTAACTGGAGCTGCATCTCCAACTTCCTCTGGCAGCTCATTTCACACATGAACTACCCTCTGTGCAAAAAAGTTGCCCTTCAGGTCCCTTTTAAATCTTTCTCCTCTCACTGTAAAAATATGATCCCTGGTTTTGAACTCACCCATCCAAGGGAAAAGACCTTTGCTATTCACCTTTTCTATCCCCCTTTTGATTTTATAAACCTCTATAAGGTCACCCATCAACCTTCTACGCTCCAGAGGAAGAGTCCTAATCTATCCTTATAACTCAACCCCTCCAGTCCCAACAACATCCTGGTAAATCTTTTTTGAACCCTCTCCAATTTAATAATATCCTTCCTATAACAAGGCAACTGGAAGTATACACAGTACTCTAAAAGTCGCCTCACCAAAGTCCTGTACAAGCTCAACATGACGTCTCAACTCCTATACTCAATGCTCTGAGCAATGAAGGCAAGCATGCTAAATATCTTCTTAACCACCCTATAATTATTCCTGTTCTTTGCTTTTTTCCATCACCCTGCAAATTCCCCCTTCATGTATACACTTCCCTATTCAAAATTGTTGATGAATTTGCTGCTGCAGTTCTCACAAGTGGCCCATTTCAGAACATAAAAATATTCTGCATAAATAAATCTCTTCTTTTGCCTCTCTATTTTTCTTCCATTGCATAAAATCTGTGTCCTCCAATTACTGACCCTTCTACCACTGGAATTAGATTTTCCTATGTGTACATTTTTCTCAAATTCATGATTTTGAATACCGCTCTCACATGGCCCTTAACCCTTTCTGTTCTAATGAGAAAAATCTGATCATTCTTTTTGGCAATATAATTGGGCTACGTAAAGCCATACAGAGTTAAGATCACATTCAGATAAGCATATTAAATTATGTTTAAATCAGTCCTATTTTTTGTACATTGCCAAACTGAAAATGTGCTTGAACAATAGGAATTTGTTATTGTGACACCAATCTAAATTTGTGTTGGGCTAAGTTTGCTTTTGTGAGAAAACCTATTTTACATGCCTTTTGTTGTACTCAGTTGTACATTTTTGAGTAAAAATGATATAAATAAATTGTACTTAATTGATGAACAATAAACCAAAGAACTGCAAATGCTGGGAATCGGAAACAAAAACAGAAATTTCTGGAAAAACAAAGCAAGTCTGAGAGCATCTGTACAGAGAAAGAACAGCTAACGTTTTAGGTCCAATGACACTGTTATTTAGGCAAAGTACTTTTATAATAACACTTCACAGAGTTCTTGTAAGTTTTTCACAACTCCCAACTCAGAGACTTAGAGAGTGTCTGTTACTTTTCCTAAGTGGGCTAATTGTATATATTTGCACAGCTTAAGCTTTTTGTTACTAATTTTTAGATCTTTGTTTGAGTAAGTTTTGTATACACTAAACCAGTTCTTTATTTGTTCAAGCAACCTGGCTAATTAGTTTCCCGTACTGAGCTATATACAATCCAATGGCAAGACCATGTTCTTTATAAATCCAAACTTTGTTGTGGCCACTAGAGAAGTGGGACAGGAACCAGTCTACCCCTCTTAACTGCTCATGACACTTGAATGGAAATGAAAATAATGAAAAATGTAGATTCATAAATGCTAAACAAAACCCCTACAATTTCTTTGGGAGAATGAGATAGAGTACATCTGAAACTTACATTACTAATGTGCTCTTGTAAAAGTTTAATCATCAATTTCCGCCCATCTATAATTTGTGAATACAGGTAGATGATAGCACTAGAGAAAGCGAGAAAAGACAGTTATAGCAATGGTGAATGAATATAGTTATATTATGACACAAATGTTTACTACCCTTAAGTTAACATTGCATAACAATTGAAAATTGTGAAAATATTATTTTCCATGCTTTCTTCAATCACAGAATTTAAGTTCAACTGCAAAACCAGCTTTAAGTACTTATTCAAGCATTTAAACACAGAGTTCCTATGTGGGCGCAGAGCAAACAACTTCTCAGCTCAGACATGACACCTAATATAACTTGCTACTAAGTATTTAATGAAAATATCTATACACGATGTGAACATGTACTAATAATGATTATGATTTCTGGTTAGCTTTGTGAGATATCAGCCAAAATTTCTCACTGGCCATACAGATTTATTGTTCCGTTGTTGATGGGAGTTGCACACAGAGACCCTGTGGAATTCCCACCGTTGCGTTGCCTGGGAAATCTGATTTAATTTATTATTGTCAGATGCACTGAGATGAAGTGAAAAGTATTGTTTTGCATGCTATCCAGTCAAATTGTATCTTACATTAATATATCAGGGTAATAGAACAGAATATACACTGTCACAGCTACAGGGAGTACAGAGAAAGATCAACTTTAATGTATGAGAGGTCAGTTCAAAAATCTTAAAACAGTGGGTAAGAAGCTGTTCTTAAATCTGTTGGCGCGTTTTCAAATGTTCGTATCTTCTGCCCAATGGAAGAGGGTGTAAGAAAATATAACCAGGTTGGGAGGGGTCTTTGTTTATGTTGGCTACTTTTCTGAGACAGAATCAATGAATGGAAGACTGGTTTGTGTGATGGACTGGGCTGCGTTCACAACTCTCTGTAACTTCATGCAGTCTTGGGCAGAGCAATTGTCATACCAAGTTGTGATGCATCTGGATAGGATGCTTTCTATGGTGCAACTATAAAGATTGATAAGAGTCATTGCGGACTTGCTGAATTTCCTTAGCTTTCTGAAGAAGTAGAGGTGTTGATGTGCTTTCTTGACCGTAGCATCGACATGGGTGGACCAGGACAGATTGTTGGTGATATTTACTCCTGGGAATCTGAAGCTTTCGACTATTTCCATCTCAGCACCATTGATCCAGACAGCTGCATGTCCTCCACTCTGCTTCCTGAAGTTCATGACCAGCCCGATGTGAAGGGGAATTTTTTTTTTACACAGAGCGTGGTTTCTCGGGGGAATGAACTTCCAGAAGAAGTGGTGGATGTGGGTACGGTTACAATGTTTAAAAGACACTTGGATAAGAACATGAATAAAGAATGTTTGGAGGGATAATGGGCCAGGAGCAGGCAGGTGGGACCAGTTTAGGTTAGACCATAGAACACAGAACAGTGAACACAGTACAGGTCCTTTGGCCCACAATGTTGTGCCAACCTATTATCCTACTAAGATCAATCTACCCTGCATACCCTACATTTTACTATCCTCCATGTGGCTATCCAAGAGTTGCTTAAAAGTCTCTAAAGTATCTGACTCCACTATCACTGCCGGCAGTGCATTCCACACGTCCACCACTCTCTGTGTAAAGAACCTACCTCTGACATCTCCCCTATACTTTCCTCCAATCACCTTAAAATTATGCCCCCTCGTAATAGTCATTTCCGCCCTGAGAAAAAGTCTCTGTCTACCCACTCTATCTATGCCTCTCGTCATCTTATACACCTCTATCAAGTCACCTCTCATCCTTCTTCACTCCAATGAGAAAAGCCCTAGGTCTCTCAACCTTTCCTCATAAGACCTGCCCTCCAGTCCAGGCAGCATCCTGGTAAATCTCCTCTGTACCCTGTCTAAACTTCCACATCTTTCCTGTAATGAGGCGACGAGAACTGAACATAAGGATTACGGTCGACATGGACTAGTTGGACCGAACAGTCTGTCTCCGTACTGTATGAGTCTATGATTTCTTCATGTTGCTGACACTGGGGAGAGATTGTTGCCTTTACACTATGCCACTAAGCTGTCTATCTCTTTCCTGTGCTCTGGCTCATCATTGTTTAAGATCTGACCAACTATGGTGGTGTCATCAGCAAATTTGTAAATGAAGTTTGAGCTGAATTTGGCCACACGGTCACAAGTATATAAGGAATATAGTAAGAGGCTGAGTATGCAGCCTTGTGGGGTAGCAGTGTTGAAGATTATTGTGGAGGAGGTATTGTTACCTATCCTTACTGATTGCTGTCTGTGGGTCAGGAAGTTGAGGAATAAGTTACAGAGAGGGGAGCAGAATCCTCGCTCTCAAAGTTTGGAGACATGTTTGGTTGGAATTATGGTTTTGAAGGCAGAGCTAAAGTCAATATGGAGGAGTCTGATGTAGTTCAGATATTCCACAGATGAATGTAGGGCCAGGGAGATAATGTCTGCTATGGACCTGTTGTGAGGATGGCTGAATTGGAGTGGATCGAGGCATTCTGGGACATTGGAGGTGATGTGAGCCATTACTAATCCCCTGAAATACTTCATAATGATGGATGTCAGAGCCACCGGGTGGTAGCCATTAAGGCACATTGCCTGGTTTTTCTTTAGCACCAGGATGCTCATGGTCTTCTTGAAGCAAATGGGGACCTCAGATTGGAGTAAACTGAACTTTCCATCGGGCAATTTCCCTAAGCTTCGGACCCTGTGAAAGTCTCTATTCAGAATAAGTAATTTAAGAATTTAATTCTAAATAATTAAGTAAGTTAGTTACTCAGGAAAAGTAAGACCAGAGAATGAAAACAGAAAATGCTGGAAATCACAGAAGGTCAGGCAAGAGAGCAGGTTATTGTTTCGAGTCTAGATGACACTTCATCAGAGCTCTGTTAAACTGACCGCATACTTACCTCACACGCCCGCCCACACCTCCTCCAGACCACTTACATGACCCAGAACTGAGCCGAAACCCCCTCCACCCCGACCTGGACCTGACATGACTCCTGGACCTTGCAACTATCTTTCCCTTAGTGTAAAACACCAATGTATTTTATATATTGAGAGGAAAGAAATATGTAATTACTTGTCATACAGAATAAAAACAAAGTTGCTGGAAAAGCTCAGCATGTCTGGCAGCATCTGTGAAGGAGAAAACAGAGTTAACGTTTCGGGTCTGGTGACCCTTCCTCAGAACTATTCTGAGGAAGGGTCACCGGACCCGAAACGTTAACTCTGTTTTCTCCTTCACAGATGCTGCCAGACCTGCTGAGCTTTTCCAGCAACTTTGTTTTTGTTCTTGATTTACAGCATCTGCAGTTCTTTCGGTTTTCATACAGAATAATGTTGTTTTCCCTTCACATTAGTATGCTTGTGAATTGATTGAATCAATCTCATCTTTGGCATCCAGTGATATTTGGTTGCTTGTACAAAGGCAAGTCATGAGTGACTCCGAATGTTCCCCAAATTAATATCAGCAAAATTAAAGCCATTCTACCATAGTGTCAGAATCTCTGCACCCAAGCCATGAATTCATCTGTAAGACCATAAGATATAGGAGCAGAATTAGGCCATTCGGCCCATTAAGTCTGCTCCACGATTTGATCATGGCTGATATGTTTCTCAACCACATTCTCCTGCGTTCTCCCTGTAACCCTTGATACCCTTACTAATCAAAAACTTTCTCGATGGCTTGGCCTCCACAGCTTCACTGCCCTGACTGAAGAAATTCCTCCTCATCTCAGTTCTAAGGGGTCGTCCGTTTACCCTGAGGCTATGCCCTTGGGTCCTAGTCCAATCTACAAGTGGAAGCATCATCTCCATGTCCACTGTATCCAGGCCTCTCAACATTATGTAAGTTTCAATGAAATCCCCGCCTTAAACCTTCTAAACTCTATTTAGTACAGACTCGGAGTCCTCAACCGCTCCTCACGTGACAAGTCCCTCATCCCCGGGATCATTCTTGTAAAGCTCCAATGCCAGCACATCTGTCCTTAGATACAGAGCTCAAACTGCTCACAATATTCCAAATGCAGTCTGACCAGAGCATAATATAGCCTCAGCAGCACATCCCTGAGGCTCAGCAGCACATCCCTTTCCCATTTTTTAGTCAGGCTGAACCCAACTATCCTTAATTCCAGTAAAAACTGAAAGAACTGCGGATGCTGTAAATCAGGAACAAAAACAGAAGTTGCTGGAAAAGCTCAGCAGGTCTGGCAGCATTTGTGAAGGAAAAAACAGAGTTAACGTTTCGGGTCCGGTGACCCTTCCTCAGAACACTTAATTCCAGTGTTCTTTTTGATAATGAGCTCAGTTATCTTTGCTTCTCCTCATCTTCACATCACCAATAGCTTTTCCTGATGAATATTCAGCAAAAACAGATGACACCAGTTTCCAGTTTAGGTTGATGTTGTCCCATGTGTGACATTAGTGCAAGTCTCAACCGCATAACCAACTGCAAATCTTGCATATGAAGAGTGTTGGAAAGATGGATAGAGATGGTGACTTTATACTGGGCTCACTTGTCCTTAATTCTGTTCTCTTCAAGTTTCAAAATTGCATGCTGACAAAGACTTCTCCATTTAGGTCTCCTTTGTTACTACATAAGGTATCGGGATCCAATTTTCAATCTGAGGTGCACTTTCAGATTGTCTTTATATCTGAGTTTGGGGTGCCCTGTGGTATGGATTCCCCATGCTCAGTTTGCTGTAGACACTGCCTTTGTTATTTGGGAATCCAAATTGTGAACCATGAGTAACCCAGCGAAGCTGACCTCTGATGAGCATGCTTTCAATGTCAAATGTGTAGAAAGATTGCTGCAATTCAAGCAGGTGGGTCACCAGTAATTTCTCAAAGATGACTAGCGAAGGGCAATAATTGCTAGCATTGTCATGAATGAATTAAAAAGGAGTCTCCCTCTGTGACAAACCTTAAGCATGTATCCTCTGAACCCTCCACTTTACTCACTGTCTTTCCTATTCCTCTTTCTCTTTACTAACTGAATTTCATCATATTTTCTGACATTATTCATTCACCTCTGCACATTTGTGAGAACTTTACTATTTGAAAACTACTGCATTAAATACAATTTGTTACTGAGAGATAAATATACGCAGTGACACACTACAGATAAGAACACAATTTACTTGATGTATTAAAGTAACATTAAACTGCATAAACAGAAATCCCTGCATCATTGTCACTCAATTGTGCATGAAATTAATAAAGGTGATTTTATTGAATCATTCTATTTCCTTACAATTGTGACAATTTGTAAGGGATTAAACTGAATAATCTTGCATCATGTTATCAGGTGATGATTTGATCTGACGGTTTGGTATCTGTGCATGAGATCAAATTAATCTTTTCACAGCGAGAGGAATACTTATGCAGATAAAGCAATACATCTGCAGGTGAACTAAATAGTAGGAAACATGATCATAATACTTACAACACAATAATTGTTAAGATGAAGTAAAATAGTGGGTTCATAATCAAGTTATTGTAACACCATACAAGCCACTGCAGGTGATAAACCGTTTTTTGTATCACAGCAATGAAGTGAGAAATGGTACTGTAGGGCACATTTAATCCTCTAAAGGGTCCACAGAGTTTGGAAGGCTTCCATCTGAGGAAAACATTTTAATATACATAGAAAATTAGCAGTTAGTGACATTTGCACTCGAGTTACTTTGCATATCACAGCATCTGAAATAAAGCAACTTCTAGTACAATGAGGCACCATTTTAATAGCTTGACTCAGGTATGAAAGTGTCTCTTGATAAGCATACAATGTCATTAGGACACAAAGGACAGGTCACCAAAGGTGAATCAAAATCAACTTAGAAATTACATTGTTGACATTTTTCTTGTTTGTCTCCACACCAGATTACTGACTAATTTGATGTATTTAATATCCTTGACATCGTCTCTCCAGAAGCCTACCCTTGACTGATTAATGATCTGAAAATCCATCTGAATAAACAGAAGGGATTTAGCAGAAACAAGGTTTGATTTAACGGTTCAAAAATAAAAGTCTGTCAGCATTGCTATTCCCGTAGCTATCGTCTGATAGAATGGTGGATAGGGCAGAGAAATCAAAACAGCTACAGAGAACTGCAAAATAAATAAATGCAACATTAACAGGATACAAGTGAAAATAAAACTGAAAATGCTGAAAATCTGTAACAAATATATAACTTCATAAGCCACTTTTGGAATGAATCAGAAGTATTTGCTTATAATGAAGCACCTAACTGTGGTTTACATGGTGTCAAGTTGAATGAACCCTAAAGATATTCCCAGATAAGGCCATGATATCAATAAAGTGGTAATATTTGTAGGATTACCCCTGGTTTCTGCTATACAACAAAGTTCAAGTCAAATACACTTCAGCTTTTAGGAATGTTTTGTATTTATCAAATTCTGTGGATTGATTTTCAAATAAGATAACATTTGCAATTGTGCAAGATATATCCTCTGATTGTTTTGATAAGACAATTAAGTCAACAATGTAGATTGAGCAAAATAAACTTGTCCAAATGATACAGTAAATCAAATTAAACAATTGCATTTGAGTTAATAATAAGGTCAAATTATCTTGTTTCTTTTTACAACGAAAGCAGCGCTGGCTCAGCTGCTGTAACTTTCATAGAAATGCAGTAAAATCCACACTGAACAGGTAAACAGTAATGTCACAGTGGCAGAGCAGGAAATGTTCAGAGGAAATTCTGAGCTTTGCACTTTAGTTGCCATCTCTGACTTTCCATCTTAAAACAGCAGCTACAAAGTAAAAGCAGCAAAAATGCTCAAGATCTGAAGGAATCCTGAATTTTTCAGGGGATCTAAACAATTTGGAACTTTCATTGTGCTCACAAAGTTTTCAGAGACCATCTAGTTCTTTCTGTTCAAAGCTTTCTCCTCTTCCCTGTGACTTGTTGTTTTCATGCCCTGAATAAGGTGAATGTCATCATAGTTTCAGATCATAGGCTGGTCTTTCAAGGAGAGAGAGAGATAACTAGTGTTGAGTTTGGATGAGGTGTAGAGTTGAGAAGGCAGGGCCTTCCTGCTGATCTCAGCTGGTATGGGAATAAACCCATGCTGTTTACAGCACTCTGCACCACTAACCAGCCCTACGAGCCATCTGATCTACTTGGTAACCATACCAATCTTTTGTTTCCTCGGAGGCTCCTCACAGTTGATGTAGCTGCTATGGCAGGGACAAGGGCCTTACTTGAAAGCTGGCAAGTAAATTATACTCTTTAAATTAAAAAAAGTGTTTTATAAGAATACAGGATATTGGAAAAAGGAGCATTGCTGCAGCACTTGTCCTCCCCTTTAAGCATTGAGAGTGTTTATTATTTAAGGTGTAATATAAGCTTTCGTAAAATATATTAAATAATGCAACTATGTTAGGTAAAAAAAAAAGAACTCTTACTTCCACACAGTTACTCCTAACAAGCAAAGTACCCCAAGGAAACCAGGAAAGAACAACAGGAATATAAAGATGGTCGTCATATGAGAAGCTCGCCATGCTTTGCGAGGAGGCTGACAATTCATCATTAGGCTAACCTAAACATACAATTCACAGTGTTAACAATTCACGGTGTTAATCAGTTAATCAGTCAGTGTGCTTCTTCACATTAGCAAACATTCAGAGTATTGAGAGTGATATGATTCACAAATAACTGTCAATATATTATATCACAGCTGCACATCACAACATATACGTATACGTTGTGATTTATATAATTATATCTTTACTTATATATATATATCTCACTGGCAGTAAAATACAACATGCAAACTTCATAATTTACTGATTGTAAGTATGCCACATATATAAGATCTAATTTTTTTAAAAAAAGGTATTTTTATACTATAAGGAACTAAAAAAAAAACCAATCCAAGACATCATGCATGCTATTAGGAATTATACGTTAAACTTGGATATGCTAAGTTTTTCAGGAATGAATGACTGCTAACTCTCAAACACCAAAGTGTAGATCATTATACACTCATTGTGTATTTTATTTAAGCTATTCCGAAACATGGAATATTCTTCTTTGGCTTGTTGCTCTGATAATGTCACTGATTACAAAACATGTAAATAACAAACAAAAAATTAGAAATTGTTGGAAAAACTCAGCAGGTCTGGCAGCATCTTTGGAGAGAAGCCAAAGTTAACGTTTCGGGTCCAGTGACCCTTCTTCAGAACTGATGTAAATCAGTTGCTTTGTATAATCAAAACTGTACATCTAAAATTCTGATATTACTTGACCAAATTAATGTATTATTTCATTAATTACATACTCAATTCATATCTTTTGACGTTTGAAGTGTACAGTTTGATTTATGATAACTATGCAATAGTATAATGTGATATCAAGCAAAGAAGCTTTCACAGTTCCAAGTATTGCCGTTAAATTAAAATATTTTTAATAGTCATGCATGAATCCTACTAATCCTAACAATTTATTTCGAGGCATTACATTGAACCAGTAATTATACATTGGTGATACAGTCATTAACATATGTAAAATTCACTGTAACAGTGAATTATTTCCATACCTTTTTAACATGAAATATAATGAAGAACTTTATTATTTGTATTGCTGGTAAAAGAGGTGCAAAGAAAAGTCCAATCCTAAAATTTAAGTTTTTAAATGAAAATTAATGATGAATAAACAGTATTGAAATAAATGTGTATAATTCTGTACTTTTTTTGAAAAAATGAAATCCATTTAAATATACATACCAGGCCAGAACTTGAGCATAGATTAAACCTAAAACATTCCTTGGAATGTCGAATTCTGGTTTTCCAAGTTTATGGCAGCAATGTGTTCCCATGATGCTAAAAGCAATTTAGAAACCAAAAGTTAAATTATTGATATTCCACTTTAAGTACTGATGCTGCATTATTCCAAGACATTTCAAACATTACTGTTAAAGTAATTAATGACACAATTCCATTTGGAAGGTAATAAATAATAAGTACTTATATGAAAAGTTTTTAATGAATTGAAACAATGCGTAATTTAGTTTCCGATTCTGTGGTACTGTCATGGCCTGAATCTAAACAAAGATAATTTTTCAGCTGATTGAAAAGCAACCATGTAGAAGGATGGTCGTCTCATTCCTCTGGACCAAACCTAACAGGATATTTCAAAATGCATTACTTTTCCTTTTCTAGTTTCTAGAAAGTAGGGCAGTGCATGGACGTGGATTCACTAAACAGGTAGACCTAATTTTGGGTGACAGGATACCTGACCAACAGAACACAAACAATGTCGACTTCACCAGCCTTATCTCTGGGACCCCTGTCAGGAACAAGTGCTTAATATGATGGTAAGAGAGCCACTGATAGTGCTCCCAGTACTAGAGAGCGGGAAATCATTTCATTGCTGTATCTATGTGGAACAGATATCCTTCTCCAGCAGCTCTTCAGTATGAATAGCACCACCAGGAGCATTGGCCACTAGTCAGTCCTACCTGGAGGATTGTGCCGAATCCTCAAATTGAGGTGAATGTGGGCTGGATGAGTGCTGCAGGGAAGGTGTTCACTGGGAGGGTCAGGAATCAGAAGAACAGGACGGTGATACAGATTGGGTTCTTCTCCACTCTGTGTTGGGTACTTTGATTGGGCGCTGAGTGCCCGTGAACAAGTGTTTCCCACCCATCCCCTCCCCTCGCCAGTAGGTCATAGGCAAACCCAACAGGGTTTTCTATACAGTTTCCCCTAAAGGTGCTGCTAAAGAGCTTCCATTTGCTTTTGAGCAGGAAGGCAGCTCCCTGACCTTAGCATGATAGGAGTTGAGGCAGAGTTCCTCACACCCACCTTCCTGTCACCAATCTCACCTCTGGGCAGTGGGAGGTTTCAAATCCTAACCTACAAGGTAATAATCTCAGTTATACTTTCAATGTTTAACAGAAAATAGAATTGAAAGATAAAAGCAACACTCCTATGCTCCTAACAATGATGGGTAATCCTAAAAAGCAGGACAAAACAATGGAATGGGCAAGTACATAATTTCACCAAAATGGACCTGATTATGTTGGAAACAGGTTACCAAGAATGCCATAAATAATGACATTAGTTAATTGGAGTTGATACCACAAAATGCAAAGTAGAAACTTGCCTTATTTTGGTGTGGCTGGCATGCACTGTGGGACAAGCTACTTACTCAATCAGACATGGATTGTAAATGTTACAAATTCTGTTCTAATTGAGTACACATATATGCATGTCTTGGGGTGCCTAAATAAGAACCAGTTTCCAACTTTCTCTAACTGGTCAGTGAAGGGGAACATAGTCTAAATGTATGCTGTACACGCCATGTGAATAAATCCCTATGATATACAGAGAGGCTCCTGTTTCTGCTTCCACCAGCCAATGAAAGATTACCAGATTCGCATGGGCAATGGTAAATAGCCACAAGTTCAGGTGCTGGGATGGAAGATCCAATGGTGTGAAAATCACCTGGTTAAATTAGCTTTGTTAATATTTATCTATGGGGCTTTTAATGGATAATAGTATAATTCCAGCCATACAGTGATTCTTAAATTCATTTCCAGAATTTTGTATTTCCGCTCCCTTTCGATTGTTTAACTTGCTCGTTACCTTCTAAAAGATTTGTCAGGCATGACCTTCCCTTGATGAAGATTTATTGCATTAATCACTGGATTGAAATAATTAATTTATTTTGCATAAAATTGCTTCGTTTTTCTTGATGTAAGAGAACATATGGATACATCATACCTTCGAATGAACTCCCCAAAGAAGGAACCCAGTAAGGAGAAGATAAAATCAGTCACCACAAGTCGGTACAGATCTTGACCAACAAATGTTTCCCAACACTGTTAGCAAAACAAATAATTTATTCTTTAAGTTACAAAGTGAACATACCTGCATTAAATATTGAAGATAAAATACTACATATATTATCATATTTAAAGGTAATTGAAGGGACAAAGAATTAAAAAACTCCTTCTTCATTCAATAATGAATTGGGTTTAAAGTAGAATGAACATGATTGAAAATATATTTGGTACATGCCTCTACGGTGTTTGCTACTGTCACCAGCCAATAGTAACATAGAACTCCAATTACTGACATTTTCAATACAACGTTCCTGTAAGAGAAATTAGCTTATTTAATCCTCAGAGTTATACATTTCAACATTACAAAATGATTATTCAATGACGATATCTAGAGTACTACAAAAAAATCAATATAATGTCTGATATAACAATGTCCCAGATCTGATAAAATTTGATGCATACGTTAGATTTACATTCAGAATTTTTATGCCCTATACACTAGCATGTTTAACACAGTAAAGAGAGTGAATTTTCTTTCGGAGCTGCTTGAAGTCAGGGTGACATACATGCCAGGTGTCACCAATGTTAAAAGATATATTTCTCAGCACGTTGAAGTCATTAGCAAGGCCAGCATTTATTGTCCACATCCAGTTGCTCTATGAAAGTTGTGGTGGGCCTTTTCCTTGAACAGATCAAGTCTAATCTTTTTAAAGTGACTTGATACTTTTTGTTGTTGTTTGTGAGACCATTTCAGAGGGCAGTTCAAGTTAACCACATTTACATGGGACTGAAAACACATTTGTGCCAGTTTGAATTTTATGCTTTTATCTCCCTAAGTCCGATTAGAATCAAGCTTTTTGGAGGGTTTGTTGCTACAAAGCCTAGCAAGTTGTCTCGTCCTATGTTACCAAACTCGCCTCATTAACTTTTTACTGCACCCTATGGTGTCTATGTCATATGTCCATCCCATCTTACCAGACGCCATTCCTGGAACAACTCAGCAGATATCCTGGAATTGAATGGCAAACCTTATGCCTCTGCCCCTTTAAAAGCCCATTCTACATAGGGGCAAGCTCTGCCAGTCCAGAGCTACCCTGCACAGTTCTGGACATTTGCCCTGGCATGGCTGGCAGGGAGATAATGGTGCCCCATTTTGTTGGACAATGGTGCCAATGCAGGACCTCCTCTTCCCCCAGGAGTAGCATTGGAGACCATAGCCTCGGACAATGACAGCCTGGTCTGAGCTTGTAACCCAGGTTAAAACGGTCTCAGCTGTCTGGACAAATGTCAGTATTCTTCCCCACTCTGGAAGATTAGGTTCCATCATATTCTCTCTGATTCCTCACACTCTCTCTGTCTCTTCAACTGTGTCTATCTGCCACCAAGGCTCGTTCTCTACTATTCTCACTATTGCCTGTGAAATTCTGCCCACTCACCATTACTCACCCCAAACCCAACACCACTAACACTACATACCCTCTGTGCTTGGACACATCCCCATCTGCACCAAAAGTAACAGCTGTAGAACACAATTTCATTTCCCTTAATACCTGCCTGTCTCTCATTCCATGAGGAAAACATCTCACAATAGGGCAAACAAACAAAAGAGGCATGGTGAGCTCCCCAACATTCAACTCCATATCCATTGTGTGGAGAGGATCCGAACTCTGACCACACAAGTGTCTGGCGAACCATATCCAAACCATTGGACTGGTATTGGAGGTTGTCATAGACTTACTGTGCTGGAAACCCCTCAGCAAAGGCTTTTAACCCCTTGTTATAACTGAGGCCTAATGACAACCATGACAAGCTTCCTGGTTTTGCATCAGTATTAAACGGCAAAACAACACAGAAGTAATATGAGTCTGGTATCTCAGGCAGAGAGAGCAAGGCACAAAGAGGTGAGGCAATGCAACGTAGGGCAGGGATTCTGTGAGCATGCAGGTCGGCTCAGAGTGAGTAAGTGCAATGAGAGTGAGTGAACATCCTGGAAATACAGCCAGGTGCAATTCTGAGCTGTGGGTGTGTCCCCGAGCGCACAATGGCCTTGCTGCAGCTTTATGATGAGAGTTCCCGATGCAGCACTGAAGTGTAGCAGTGTCCTGTAAGTGAATCAGAGATATGTAACAAGGGCTCTAGAAGCTGACATGTGTCAGATGCCAATGTCCACATGGCTGGTGTCCATGGAGCATGCTGAGATGTCAATGCTCAGATTCCAACATGGAGATTGTTTGAAGCAAGCGGTGAGCTAAATTCACCATGTACTCGCTCTGCCTACCATGTCAGATTTTCACAACATCTAACTGGTTTGGCTCATTTGTAAGATAGGAAACTGGCTGGGTCAGCATTTATTGCCCATCTCTGGTTGCCCATGGGAAGGTGGTCTTCAGCTGCCTGTTTCAATTGCTGCAGGTCCATTTCCAATTCATGTTGCTGCTGCAGGCCCCAAAACTCCAAATTTAAACCACCACAGTGTGTGTGTGTGTGCTGTTAACATTTATTACCTGAAATTGCAAAAGCAGGCTTGTTATTGTAAACAGGAAATATTCCCAGTGATGTCATCAGCTTTAGTGTTCAAATAAAACTGGTCACTCATGGCGATATTCACCTTCGATATGATAGGATTTATTTTAAAGATAAATTTGAAACGAATACCTTATAATGAGAACATACGTCTCATCCCGGGGATATTTGAATCTTTCCATTGAACCAAGGAAGGAGAAGAATAAAGGTATGAACAGATTGATAATTGCCACCACAAAAGGTAAGATCAATGTCGAAGCTTGCTTGTATAAATCTTCCTCTGTTGGATTTTTTTGAATAATCTATAAAAATTTAATCAAAAGATTTGTTTTGTTTCTTTAATAATTTAGAATACTTCTTAAATATTGTGTATTGTGCCTTTCCATTATCATTATCTTAACAGATCTGTCCCTCTTTCATACACTGGGGGCAGTTCAGAATTTACCAGGAGATATTTTCATGCATACTTTCAAAAAATAAGTTATTGTTGATTTTCAATAACATTCTATTGTATTTTGGCATGGCTTCCTTAAAACTAACAAAACTTTATTTGTAAGACACAGGAATAGAAGTAGACCATTCAATGACATCATGGCTGACTTGATAATCCTGAACCCACTCTCCTGTGATTTCCCCATAACCCTCGATTCCCTCATTGATTGAAAATCCGTCGATCTCAGCCTTGAATATATTTAAATGACCCAGCCTCGACAGCCCTTTGCAGTAAAGAATTCCACAGACTCATCACCCTTTAAGAGAAGAAATTCCTCTTGATCTCTGTCTTAAATGGGTGACCCCTTAGTCCAAGATTATATGCCCATTGGTTCTAGACTCCCCTAAATTAGGAGCAGCCTTTCCGCATCTACCTTGCCCTCTAAGAATTGATAATTGTGCTTCAATGGTAGTGTCCCTACCCCTGGTCTGAGAGACCTGCATTCAAGTCCGACCTGCTCCAGAGGTATGTAATACCATTTCTAAGCAGGTTGGTTAGAAAAATAGGTTAAATTATAAAAATAATCTGACAGTTTTAATGAGGTTGCCTCTCATTCTTCTGAATTCCAATGAGTACAAGCCCAACCTATTTAACCTGTCCTTGTGAGAAAGTCACTCCATATCCAGAATCAACCTAGTTACCCTTGTTTGGACAACATCTAATGTGAGTATAAGAGACAACAAG